AAGCAAACACAAGAGCAAGCCTCTTGAATGGCAAGGCCCTGAATACAGTTCAAAAAAAAAATGTACGCAAAAAGTATAAGTACTCGAGATTTATTTCAAAAAGAGGGGCTTTGCGTCCCCAAGAGCTACAAAAAAGAAAAAGTACAATAAAAAAAAAGTTTTTCATCTTGCCCCTCGCATCTCCAAAACATCCGCCGAGGGCGAATCGACGTAGAAAGGTTGAGCAGCTTCGGGAGCAGGCAAAGCGGGAGGTACTTCGGCATCAGAGAGACCCCTAGGAATATTTATGGTCCGGGTCCTGGTCCGGCAGAGCCTCGTCAGACAAATCCACTATTATCGCCTCAGGCAGATCCGTCGAAACTTGCATCGGCGTTGGCATCTCGCCCTCGGCAGCAATCTCTGCGTCGGCCCGTTCCATCTCCGCCAAGGGCACGTACTTGTGCATCTAGAAGAGCGGAGAGTCTGACGGGATTTCAGCAGACTGGAGCGCCTCGTCCCACCTTTTCTTGAAGAACTCCTTGCTGTTTTTCTCAAGAGCGGGGAACACGTTATCGGCAAACTCTTCTCAGAGTTGCTCCTCGGACTTCCTGTTTTGCGCCTCGGCCCTGATCCTGTCCAACTCCTGGGTCAGAGCCAGACAGCTTTCCTCTGAGCCAACAGCCCTCTCCTCCGCCGCAGAGAGCCGCCGCGTCTGCTCTATGATCCCCCCCTCAGCGTTGGCAAGGGCAACACTAAGCTTTTCAGCGCCGACCTTAGCCAACTCGGTATCCTTGAGGAGTTGCTTGATTTGAGCAGCCTACCCTGCGAGGGTGAAATCCCTGGCGGCTACGTCCTCCTTGGCACTAGCAAGGGCACCCTCCGCTTCTTCCTTCTGCTCTCGGACCCGCTGGAGGTCCATCCTAGCCCCATGATACCGCACCGCTATTATGGAGATCTGTTGGGTGGCCTGCAAAGGAAAAGGCATGTCACTAAAAGGAAAAGCGGCTAAAAAAAAAGGACTGAAGCAAAGATGAAACTTACCACCAGGGAATTCTGGATGGTAGAGCAAAACAACATGTTCGTTGATCGCCCCCTGTGAGCCACCATGTCGGTCTCAAAATGCATTGTCTCACTCACTGCATTGGCGACATGGGGGTCCTGCAAAATGGAATCGTCGACCCTGATCACTCGGTTCATGTGATCAGTGGCTCAAGGATTCCACTCCGCGGCTTCCACTGTCGGCGGAAGGGGAGGAGGAGTCTGCTGTTGCTGCTGTTGTTGCTGCTGTTGCTGTTGTTGCTGAGGAACAGGGGGCAACCCACGACCTCTCCCACTTTAATGCTGAGCGGAGGGGGCCCTGGATCCCCTGCCAAGGCCATCGTGCCTATGTTTGATCCTCCTCTTCTCCTCTACCTGAGGATCCCGGTCACGCACTTGACCCCGACTAACGACTCTTGAGGATGGGGTGGTGCTGGTCCCTGCAGATGGGGCCCCACCGGTCGACCCTCGTCCCCTCCCGGCAGCGAGGGCTTGTCTCTGCCTTAGGAACCCTAGATCAATGCGGGGCGTGCTGGACATGGCTACCTCGAGGGCGTCCTCGGCGTTTAGAGATTGTAGGATTTGAAAGTCCGGCCACGAATCTCTCCCCGAAGTTCCCATCTCGGCGTGCGAAGGAACCAAGTCCTCTCTGACCTCGAGCTCTTCAACTCTACCCTCTATTTCTGCCTCCGAGGCCCGGTCGGGGTCTTTTTCCAAGTTCTCCTCGACTTCTTGCCCCACCGCCTGATCGAAGAGTTCAGACCACCGCGAGGGGTCGAAAGGCTGGGGAAGCTGTGAAAACTTCTTGTATCCGGGAGTATAATTGAGGAGGATGTGGGCAGCCCGGCCGAGCCCGTCAGAACCAGTGAATCTCCAAACGGTGGCTAGGTCCGCAAAATTCACCAACGACCGGGGTGGAGGAGCTGTTTCCCGAGGGGAGATGTCTGCACAAGCAAAAAGAGGGGAGTGGGTCATGAGCACGTTGAAAATCTCAAAAACAGAATAATAGACCCGAAGGAACCGACGTACTTGTCGTTCTCCATTCCAAAGGGCATAACAAGCCGTCATACTCGGGACCGACACCTCTCTGCCAAGATCCCTTGAAGATGAGTAGGTCATCCTTGTACCCCTTGTCCGAGTCAGGGAGGTGAGTTACGAGGTACATAGATGGGTCCCTGGCTTTGAGGTAGAAGTGTTGTTGAGGCGTAACTCTCAAGAGGGAATAACAAAAAAGGATATCGTCCAGCCCGACGTTTACCCCAAGACGCCTATTGAGCTCTAGGACCCCCATAATTATCCTAAAGACATTAAGGCAACATTGCCCGGGAAAGAGGCGAAACGAGAGAGGAACTGGAGAAGCAGAGGGGCAAAGGGAACCTAATTCCACCTTCTATGATGGCTTTGATAAAAAAAGGCATTGCGTCCTCGGTACCGAGGGTACAAGGGTGCACAGCCGGGTCATAATCCTTTATGTCTACATTCGGGGGAACGCTGTACTTAACCCTAAATCTATTAATTTGTTCACCACCTTTTACTTTATACTTCCCTGGCCTCGAAGTACTAGCCTGAGGGTTCTCGGGGGCAGGGCGACGACGAGGCATCTTCAAAAAGTGATAAAAAAAATAGAGGGGGTCTTTTCCACGAAGATCCCCAAGAAGGCTTCCCGGGATTGGTCGCTGAAGGGCAACCAGAAAACACCTCTGGTGATCGGAAAACCAAAAGAGACAGAAGGGCAAAGAAAGGGAAGATACTGGGACTCACCAGAGTATAAAAAGAGGTTTTTTCTGGAAAACTTGAATCGACTCTTCCAAGAATGTTCAGAAGCAAGGATGGGTCTGCTGGCTTTAAAGCTTCAGTGAAAAGGTTGGGCAGTTGACAAACGAAAGGAAAGAAGTCTCCGGCGAAGATTCAGGCAAGGGCTCTCTGTGAAGAAAAGTTCAGAACGACGAAATGAGGAAAGAAGAGAGAAAGCCCCTTTATATATAGCACCTATCCCATCATTGGGCGCGAAGCACGAAACGACGCATTTAATGCGCATGACATCTTAGGCAGGGAAAACGGCTAGGGGCAATGATGAAGCAGTTGGGGTTGTTGCAAAATCCTTCGTCTCCTTACAACGCGTGTCCTTGGTGTCAGAAGATTGAAGGCTGGGGGCAGTTGATGGGACATTTTCAGAACACTCCAAGATGAAGACACGTGTCCTCGGTATCACTGATCCCTGTTATCAAGATCACGTATCCATGGGTCACAAGTCCCCTCTACCCCGAGGTACTTATCATGGATCGAGTGACATCCAATACGCTTTTATGTACCGACACATACCCTCGGTTTGATATGGTACATCGGTCGCTAGGCCCCCCCTCGGATTCAAAATGTACCTATTCCTCGGTTTTCGAGATATACCTCTTCCTCGGCTCCGATATATACCTCTTCCTCGGTACCGAGATGTACCTCCCTCTCATCCAGGATGAAGTTCTCTGCTCCAGCAGAGGCTATTGACGCACTGGTCACTAGCCTAAGCTAGGCTAGGTTAGCTATCATGACCTCGTCTTATACAATCGATGTCAGAAGGCACAGGAAGGCAGGAGCCACAGCCAATGAGGAATGGACGCGTGACATATTGTGTCACATCAGAGACAGAAAGACCGCATGACCTTGCTGACACGCTACTTGAGAAAACAAGCATTTAATTACACCATTCCCTTGATGAGACTGCATTCAATGCGGTAAGGCTCAGAAGTGAAAGGCAATAAATGTCTCTAAGGCTGGGCATTTATTGCGTCCTCCCCGAGAGGAGCTCATTGAACAGTCAGCAGCCCGATGACACGGTATTGATTGCTCGGGATCCCGAGCAGTTAAAAGAGAAGACATTCCTCATTAGAATCAGTGCGCACACTGCCTGCACCTAATGATCACCTATTGACTACACTGACACAATCATGAGTTTTTGAAGTATAAATACTCCTCGCAAAAGGCAAGATGGTATGCAACAAAAACCCTTTGCTACAATACATACTCAGTGTTTTCTTCTTCCTCTCTCTTTAAAGACTGACTTGATCGTCAGATGGGATATCGCCGAAAAATATTCCGGCGCCCTTCTAACTTGTTCTTCTTTGTTTCAGGAACCTTTCTTCAGCCTTACTGGATCGTTCCTTTGATCCACGAGGGTCTCCCATTACCGTTCCAGGTTACCACAGGATCTCACAGGCTGTTCCAAGCGGTGTGGTTGACCACTCCACTGATTCAATCGAGTTCACTAAAGGAGAGATCTGTCCTCGTTTTTATATTGTGCGAAATTTAGCACGTACACCAATCGTAAATTTATGACTCAAATCTATAATTGTTTTTACAAAGAATGATACTCGTATATTTAAATCTTGTTGAAAAATATGGCACAGCAGAGAAAAATGGTAGAAGTGGACTAAGGGAGGAAGAGAGATAATGAGTTTTGAGAGAGAGAGAGAGAGAGAGAGAAATTTAAAAGATAAGGAAAATTTTTTTAGAGAATCGACAGTAATTAATTGGATTATAATGTAAAACTAGAAAAGAAAAATTAGAGGACAGAAATAACGGAAAGAAGATGAAAGTTGCCGTTCTGTCAATCAAATCAATTAATTTAGATGACTTCACATTTTTTGAATGCTACGCTGACGCCTTAGAACCATTAAAAATTTTCTCAAAAGAAGGACAACATTGAAGTGGATGGACAGCTAAAGTGATTGGGGATACACAGTAGACAGAGAAAAATTGAAAGAGAGAAAACGGAAACGTTATTTTCCTCGAGACAATCAGCCCCTTTGGCTGTCATGGCAACTATTTCACACGATTTGATTTTTTATCGAAGTGGCTGCTCTCATTAAAAAATAAATCTTATATTTACATGTAGAATAATATTACATATACTAAATTGATGGCTACATCACACATAGTCGCACATTTTTTGTACCATTGTGATGGTAATTTCTCAACAACTTAACCATTTTTCACAGCTTATTCAGTTCGCTTTCCCTCACAAGATCAGGCGACTTGGCGGCCATTACCAAGAACTTTGACTCTCCTGTGTTCTCATCATGTACGTAGTCTAATACGTACCCGTCGTCCTCATCGGCCTGTGGATTCCTTGGCGACTTTGCCACGAAGAAGGGCTCGCCGCCGTAGCAGCCGGGTCCGAACATCCGGCTAGCCACTATGCAGTCACGACGATCATCTTCTGATAGTGATACATCAAGCTTCACCACCCCTGATAACTTAAATACTGTTGAATCCCCCATCGCTGCTGCGTATACATACCTGAGTAAAAAGCATGGACAAAGTTCAAAATTTTGTTTTCAACTAAAGAAAAAACACTTGGGCTAACATAAATGATGGACACTAAGCACTATGTGTATCTGGCTAGAATGTAAGATCCCAAGAATGAAACTTAAATTAATTGATCGGGTCCAATATAGGCTATAGAACATGTGATTTAATTCGATGTAAAGTAGAGAAAAGATTTTGGATTCAAAACTTTGGCGAGGCTAAAACAAGAAACATTTTTGGAATTATTGCACAATATTTTGTAAATAAAATAGTTTGACTCTTAACAGACTGATCAAAACATTTCAAATCATGAGACTAGACTGATTCATTGTAATATCTACTTTTTTTTTTTTTTTTTTTCATTTCATTGTCCATTGAAATCATAAAACTTTAGATCATTTTTCATTGAAAACCGAACAAAAATCTCATCTTTAACCCTAACAAATTTCAGATTTTATGACTCAAAACTCATAGGGATATATATGGTGACGATAGTCAATGAGAGGATTTTGATGACTAAAAAATTTTTCATTGAATCTGTAATTTGTAGCCGGGTGTAGCTGTTCTTCTTCCCCACATAAGCCGGATTGATCACTGCAAAGTCTAGATTCCTAGTGGACAATGGTTGTCTCGTCACAATCCCAGTCTTGAGATCAATCTTCACTTTCTCCACCGAGTCATGGATCAAATTCATCCTCTCAAACGTGTGCTCCACCGATAATACGTTCGGAGCCACCATCACCACCGTATTGCCGCCGTCCTCGTCCCAAGCGTTAATGGCGTGCATTATATTGACCCCGGCACGTCAAACCACCTCATCTCTGATTCATCCTTAGCATATCTTGGGATTACTCCGAGTCTAGGCACTTTTGTCAGGTCTGACGAAGCGGAACCCACCTACGAGGATCATGTCAACTGGGTTCACTCCTATTTGTGTGTCGGCAAATATGGCGTACTTTTTTTGAAATGGCGGAGTCGTGGGAACGAAGGACGTGTCATGGAGAAGATTGGGACGTCGGCTTGTTTTGTCCCGTCGGAATTGAATCGGAAAAAGGTTAAGAACGGTGGCATAGCGTCGTATCGTAAAGCGAAGGCCTCGCCGGTGACAGAATCGATCTTGGGGTGTGTGTGTCATGCTCATGAAAAGCTTGCCGTCGAAATCATGGCGACCTAAGGTTACGACATCGCCGTCTCTGGCCACTTT